CAGACAGATTGGATACTACTCAGTGGAGATTCTGCCTTCCTCCATGCCCTCAGGATCTAGGCTCCCTCTTGAAAGCTTATAAGCAAGTCACTTCTTGCCTTGGGAGCCCCCCATTTTGGGTAGTCAATGTCCAAGTTGCCCATCCCTGTCTACCCTGTATACCGTGGGGTTGGGAATGGTCTTTGCTATAAAGATTTGTTCCATCTTTTGAGCTGCAGCATCCATAGGTGTAGGTCAAGTTCATCAAGTTGTATCAGATTACTCTTGTTTTCCTCTTCTTTCTTCTAGTTGAGCTCTGATCATGCAGCCATTGAAGCCAGGTCAAGTGGGTTTTGTTTGCAATTGTGGGTGTTCTTGTGCATATGCCCTCACTTCTTATCAGCTGGATGCTTCACTTTCCACTCTAGTCCTCTGTGACTATGTCACTGACTCTGGGCCCAGGAGTCCTGTGGTCTTGCCATACTGCTGGCCAACCAAGTCTCCACCCAGGTTCACAGGAGTTTATTGAATGTGGTAGGATTTAACTCACAGCTTTATTGCTATTTTTCCCTCACTTCCCCTTATCAGTGACCAACATGATCACAAGTCAAGGCACATGTCTGCTTGTGTATGCCCCTTGATTCTTAGACTTGGAAGTGGGTTTGCCCTGAGGGGGACTGACCACTTGCCTTGATGTCTCTCTTGCTTGTTCTTCTAGTAGTCAGTCGGACTGCCGTTATTGTTTTGCATTTTTCCTGTCAGTCTTTCTTTCAAGAAGTAGCTTCTGTTCTTCTGACTGCTCCAGGCTGGTCTGCTTGTCCTTTCAAGTGGATTTTCCCACCTCACAAGATTCTGAATGGGGTTCAGGATTCTACTTATGGTCTTATGCAGTGCAGAGGCTCCGCAGAATGTCTCCTTCACTGTATTTTACGAATTCTAGTCAGTTATAGGCAGAAGATGGAATTTCTATGATATTTCCTACTATTCCTTTCTCTCCCCCTCAAGTGTCTATTTTACAATGGTATGCAAGGGAAACCAAGATTGAAAAGAGAGCCAAGCATCTTGACATTATATCCCCCATTTAACCATTCAAACCATGCCTCAATCCCTGTATCTCAGAGCCCTATTGTTCCAGGGTTGTGCATACATCATTTTTTACCTTTGTCCCACTTAACTATTCTCCCATCTGTCTTGTTCTTCCATTCCCCTCCCGCTTCTTGTGTATTGGCCTCCTTCCCAGCACCCAAACTATCCTGTGTCTATTCCCTACCCTGTGTTCCACCTTGCCCTCCCTCCCTCAACCCACCCTCCATCTCCCAGTAAGCAGCAAAGAATATTTTTTAGGCTTTTACCATAGTGGTCCTATACAATATTTCTCCTTTTGTAACTGACTAATTTCACTAAACATAATGTCGTCAAAGTTCATCCATGTTATGCGGTGGCTTGCATCTTCCTTGTTATTACTCAAGGTAGCATAGATTCCATTGTGTGTATGTACCAAAGTTTGTTTATCCATTCTTCAACTGATGGGCACTTAAGCTGTCTCCATCCTTTTGCTGTTGTAAATAGTGCTGCTATGAACATTGGTGTGCATGCATATGTCAGCTCATGTTATGGCTCATATTTCTTGTGGGTAAATACCAAGTAGAGGAATTGGTAGATCATAAGGTATTTCTATTTCCAACCTTCTGAGGAAATGCCATATTGCTTTCCAGATAGGTTGGACCATTTTGCAGTCCCACCAGCAATGCAGGACTGTCCCAGTCTCTCCACATCCTCACCAGCATTTATTGTCTTCAACTTTTTTGATCTTTGCTTTTATTGCTGGTGTGAGATGATATCTCATTGTTGTTTTGATTTAAATCTCTCTAATGGCAAGGAGCTCTGGTAACATAGTGGTTACAAATCGGGCTGCGAACCTTAAGGTCAGCGGTTCGAAACTACCA